GCAGTTTGTCTCTTTTGGATGAAGAACATTTAAACGGTGAAAAGCTGCAGCTCTCCCTCCACTGGACAGAGAAACAATGAGAGCAGAGAGACAAAGTATTGAGCTGAAACTTACATCTAGTTCTTTTTCACTGAGTTGGTTGTTTTTTTGTCGACTGCTCCCAGTCAAATGACGATGTTTGGCCAACACAGGCAACTCAAGAAATGATCGATTTGAATATTTCATCATTTGAATATTTAAACCGGAGAAAAATCCCCTGTAACGTAGAGAGAGAGAGAGACTTATAGAAATCCATACTCTCAGAGCTCATCATATTTGCATGAACCTGTTCTGTTTCCATGTTGAACCTTATTTGTTTCCAGTTCCGTCCACACTCAGCTCTCTGTCTCCATACATCCGAGTTCCAGCATGAGACACATATAACAAATAGTGTGTGTTTTCTTTGGACTCTGTCACACACCAGGTCAAAGACACCAGACAGAGAGGTCAATAGGTCACTTCCTGATGAATGAACTAATGAAAATCATAAATGTTACAAGGTGGAAAAAACAAACTGAACTCAAGGTGGTGTTCAGTCTGCAAGGTTGAAATGTGTGATATTTACTCTTTTAAAACACCCAAAACACTTTAATGTGAACACCGGCAAAACAATCATTTTGTATCAGACAAATCAGCTTTTTGAGAATTTTCTTTTAATTATAATGTCAAATTCTCTGAACGCTTTATCTACTTTATCAACCTCAAAGTGCTTCAAACAACATTCATCAATCAACAGTGGAAATTTGTATGTTTCCGTTAGGAAGCTCAGATATTGGAGAAAAGTTGTCAGCCTGCAGTTGTATTGATGTTCAATAAACAGCCGTGCTGGAATTGTTCCTCCATTTATTGTTAATTTAGTATCTAAACCTTACCAGGTTGATATCTTTAAAGAATGACTGAGACTGAGCTGTGATCCAAACCAAACCACAAACCATGACACATTTTTGTTTCATCTTCCATTTCGCTTCGATCGCAGCGATGGCTAAATTTCTCCGTCCCAGATGTTACTTGTTCATGCAAATAATTTCACGTCAAGTCAGCAGATAATATCAGTTTCAATGAGCCACTGGAGAAATGCATGCTGTTTTTCTCTAAAATATTTATTGCCTTTTTTGCATTTTAACACTACATATTAACTATGTTTATAACATATAGTAGAAATGTCAGTGTAAACAGCACAAACTGTCATCTTTATGAGGATGCAGACACCTTGCTGTTTATCTTTCCCACGTCAGCTTTTTTTTTTTTTTTTTACAACACTTGTTCTTCACAGCTTCCCTCATTTGTTTGTTTCCAGGAAGCAGAATATTTAATAGTTCAGGTTTCAGGAAATGTAAACTAACCAGGACCCATTCATAGGTGGCCTATGTCACGATCACTGGACTTCTTGGATGTTTTTTTTTTTTTTATTATTATTATATCTGACTTGGTCAGAAAGGACATGGCATATTTATCTGCATTTAATACATCTTCGTTTTAGTTAATATTCAACCTGAATAAGATGGGCAGAGGATCTGCATCGTGTCATCACACATCAAGCCTTTTAGGTGCTTTTCTATCAATATTCCTTTGATAAAATCTGTTTGTAATGAAAAGTTGTGACGTCTTCAGTCCTTATTTTACCGGCTGTGTGGAAATGCAGCCGGTAAAAAAAATACCTAATGTCTTAGAATTACACATAATAATGATTTTAAGCACTTTTATTAGATTGTAATTTAATAAAACCAATTGAAAACTTAACACTCTAAGCTCCGTTGTTTAGTGTTTTAAAGCATAAAACAGAATATTTAGTTACAAGCTGCAGTTGGATATAAAAGTACCAAACTACTGCACACAATGAGTGTGTGTGTTCACCTAAAACACACACATATCCAGTATGTGACCCCGTTTCCCCCCACCTTCTTCAAATCTAATGAAACCAGTGTCAAGCGTTTGTGTAGCAAAAAAATAAATTTGTGCTGCTATCATTTTAAAGATATAAATAAATGTTTCCAGAGGTCATGAAAGGTCAACCATACTCCCCTCTCCCCCACCTTCTTCAAGTCAGACAAAATTGGTGTCGATCAACTCGGGTTTGTTTGTACAGCAACATTTTTCGTCTGTGCTCTTTTTGGTTTGAAGTTGTCAATGAAAGATTAAAGGTCAAAAGGTCAACCAGCCCCTCCACGGCACCCAAATCGATCAAAGTTGGTGTCAAATGTTTGTGCTACGTTTGTGCAGTAAAATATTTTGTCATTATTAAAAACGTTTCCAGAGGTCACCAGAGGTCGACCCAGAGTCAGATTTACAAAGTCTAATAAAAGTGATGTCAGTCAACTCAGGTACATTTGTGCAGCAATAATTTTTGTTTGTGCTGCTTTTGCTACTGAAGATAGTGATGACGACCTCTGATGACCTCTGGAAACTTTATCAACATCTGTAAAATGACAGCGTCACAAACGAAAACTTTTACAGCACAAATGAAGCACGAACATTTGACACCAATATTTGAAGAAGGTGAGAGGAGCCGTCTTCACTCAGGTCAGCTAAGTTCTCCAAACCAAACGGAACCCAGTGCTGCACAGATGCATCTTTATAAATTCAATGGCACCGGAATAGATTCACGCCTCTTGGGAGAACAGCCATCAGAGCGGATGGAACAAGGTAGTAATTTAAGCTGCTAATCAGGAATAGAAAGTGCAGCAAAGGAAGCAGTGCAGAGACACTGTGCTAAAATAAAACCTCTGGAAACTCAGCAGATGTGTGGAAGATGCAGCAGGTGAAGAGAGTCGATCAATGCTGGCTGAAAGTTGACTGTGTGTGTGTTCTGTTACTGTATTTCTTACTAGCTCTTAGTCACTAAACCTATTTTGGTGAAGTTAAAATTGGTGTGTATAAGTTTTGTTGCTGTGTTGAATTATGCTAAAGTTGTTGCTGATTTATGGATTTCTGATGCCTGCTTTTTGTTTGATTTCTTGTACAAATTATACATAGATTAAACACAAACACACAAAGGTCTTCAAACATTTATTTACTGTTAATTACGATGACAATCCACTTACAGCCAGAAAAACCACAACAATGAAGATAAGAAGATTACATTCGAATAGCAAAGAAGAAACATTTTTTAATGAAAAGTGTGGTCTTAATGTTTTGTTTTGAAATTTGCATTTCACAGGCTGCTGAATATTTAAATTTTAGAACAGATGAAATTAAACTTCTCAATGTCTCTCTTTTTCCTCCACTTGTATCCTCCTCCCGTCTCCATGGCTCCAGACATGTCACAATCGTCCATCGGTTCACCATTGGCCCAGTTCTGATATCTGACCACTTCATCACTGACCCAGAACCACAAATCCAGAGTGCAGGCGTAGCTCAGACCCATCCAGACATAATCAGTCGATGCGTTCTTGACTTTCTCCTGGATCCATCTCTGATCATCCATGTTGGTGATGGTGACCAGGTCATGGTGGTGATCTCTGCAGTAGTACAAGGCGTCCTCCCAGGTTTTATTTTCTTTGATCAGGATAAATTTATCTGTCACAAAATTGATCGACACAAACATTAAAAAATAAAATAATGACCATGAACTAATTTGACAAGAACAACAGTTACATCTTTAAGTAGTTGCCTAAGAAATTACTCAAGAGTAAAAATTTGAAAAAAATGATACTTCAGTAAAAATCATAACATCTGATTTATCATTTCAATATGATGTCATGATACTAGCAAAAATATAAATATGTGTGCAATTGTCATATTTTGAAGACAAAAATAATTGAAATATTTTTTCAATTATTTTGAAAAAATATTGTTTCTAATTTCTAAAACAAATTAGAAACAACACATTTCTAAATCAATTTTCCTAGACATATAAACTAATACTTGAACAGTAGGAAATACATAAACAATATGTTACAAATAGGTAAAGTACTTCCAGGGTTCACTGTATTTTAACTTGACCTCCAAATGGCTCAGCAGGTGGAGAATAACATGAGAACAATAGAGTTTGTGTTGGAACAGGAACTGCAGGTTTGTTTCTGGGTCCAGAGAGTTTTTAAAATATGTTTGGCCTTTATTCAATGAATATCCACAAATGTTACTCTATAGAGAATAATATTATTTTATAATAATATAGCTCAAGTAAAATTACAATATATTAGGGTTTACAACTACTACTAAAGGTCTTTTTCCCCAAAAAACTAATTAGTAAATTAGTAAATGTGAATGTACTATGTGCCTCTGATACTGATCAAATGTTGAGGCTTTTGTTTGATGCAATGACATTATCTGTGACATGCAAGAATTAAAACTTAAAACATGAATTAGAAAACTATTCACTGTAATAATGTTTAAATAAACTTATATTTGAACTAACGACTCACCATCATAACAGATGAAGGGTTTTTTATTATCACAGCTCACATCCGTCCATCTTCCTTCACCATCAAACTTAGTCATGGCACATTGACCACTGTTGGGATTGTGATTGTTAAATATTGGATTCCAGTGTCTGAAAGAGAAACTGCTTTCATCTGACCACCTCCAGGTGTCTCTGAACAGACCAATGTATGTGTGATCGCTTGTAGAGTTCATCAATTTCTCCACTTCTTCATCCTGTAGCTGCTTCGTTCCACTGATCAGGTCTGTGTGATTCTCTCTGCAGTAACTCTGAGCTTCCTGCCAGGACTTCATCTCTTTAATTAAGTGATATTTGTGGGTTGTATTAGTTTCTGTGAAGTAATCAAACATATTTATGTTCATCTTGTTTGGACAAAAAACATATAAAAATAAATCATAAATAGACTAACATGCTCACCATTATAGCAGAGGAAATGATATCCATTACGGCACTGGGTGTCTGTCCAGTTGAGATTTTTATTCACCATCACACAGTTCTCATTTCCTCCTGCATCATTTGGTTCCCCTGGGTTCCATTTTGTCTCACTTTCATTAAACTCCACTCCAGGCAGAGACCAGTACCAAGTTTTGGTACCATGTGTTTGATCATACAGACCAATCCAAGCTTCCTTCATTTCTCCAGCTGAGATGTTGATGAGTCTCTTCATGTCCTTCATGTTAGTCACTGTGACCAGGTCAGTGTGTTTCTCTCTGCAGTACTGCTGAGCTTCAGTCCAGGTCTTATTCTCATTAATGTAGTGAAACTGATAGAGCTGACAGTCCATGAAACAACACTGAGCTGAAAAATGAAACATGTTTCAATATTTAGTACTAAATCCAGACTGATACAATAAAACACTTTGTCTTTACAAAAATCAAAATAAGTATTCTCATTCTAATTTTTGTGTGATAAAAATCCACCAGGCCTCCTCAACATCCTACTGACTGTAATGTGACAGAAACCAGAGTCTAGTTGTGTTTCAGATCAACTTACCCATCAGGAAGAGCAGAATCAGACTCCACTGCATCTTTGCTGTCAGATGAATTATTTTCCTCCAGCAGTTTGTCTCTGTTGGATGAAGAACATTTAAACAGTGAAAAGCTGCAGCTCTCCCTCCACTGGACAGAGAAACAACATTAGTAAATTTTTCACAAGTGATGTTAATAGAAGGGATAAACATCATTCATCTTTTTTGTTGAATCAGTATTAAATGTTGTGTTTCAGACACACATGTCTGAAGAGAAGCAATTTGAATATTTGTCATTTAAATATTCAAACCAGGAGGAATCCTTTTTTTGCCATAAAAACAAATTATGAAATATTATATGGCAGTGGTTCCCAAAGTGTGTGGTGCGCCCCTTGGGAGGGTGCAGTGTCATTGTAGGGGTGCACAATGAATGAAAAAATAAATAAATAAATAAATAAATAAATAAATAAAAAACCTCTCAGGTAGCTGTTCATGTTTTAACCCCATTTTTCATAGACTTTTGTTGTATGTAGGCTATTTATGATAGCATAATTGAATATAATCACAAATAAAAAAGAAATATGTCTGAAATAACACTGACAGCAAAGAAAGCTTCTACGGTATAGAACTGAGAAAAAGAAAATCAGTTACACAAAAGTGTTTCACTGTAAAGATGGTTTGTAGTTTGTTTTGTTGCAACCTAAAGTGTGAAATAAACTTCAGTGGAGTTTGAAAACAAAATATGAGTTTAGGTTTATGTCTGGTTGAACGATGTGTGCCCAGGTGATTCTTTTTTTTCTGTTTTGAGGGGGATTTTATTGTAATCCATAGGGGTCCCAGAAAATCTTTGGGAACCACTGCTAGGAGAAATTAAGATGATTAATAAATATACATCTACATTTACACATATAAGGATATCATTTTGGTATTCAATTAAAAATACATTTTAATGAAAAACAGTTTTTATTCTTGGCTTGTTTCCTGATTGACTGGGGGAAGTGTACATTAGTAACATGTGAGGGTGGAGGCAGCAGTGGGGCTTTGAGTGGACAGGAGATTATGAAGGGTTATGACTAAACAGGAAGTGAACTTAGTGGAAAATGGTGGCAGAGGGAAGGAACACACCGACAGACGGACGATGATACAGCTTTTTTCAGATAAAATGTAAAAAACTTTAATCTGAAGAAATCTTCCCT